ATGCCATGCAACGCCATATTGCCACCCCACCAACTCACCAACCAACCACCCCAGCACCCTGCTACCCCACCATCCCATCACCATTCCATCTTGTCATCCCAGTGCCACACCAGCCCAGGACCCCATGAAAACCCATGCCCTGGTCCCAGCTGTGCCCAGTACCGCCGCACAAAGGGGATGTAGCTGTGGTGGCTCTTGCCCGAGCGTGCAGTGCTGTGCAGGGACCCCGAGGACCCACCACCTGGGGGCGGGTACAGTCGCCCTGCCACGTATGTGCTGTCCCTGCCACAGGCCTGCCAAGGGCACAAGGATGTCATGGCCATGGCACAGGCTGCCCTTCTCTTCCTGGCACCCCCCCATGTGGCCCAGCACTCACGGGAGTGAGGGTGGCCTTGGTGGCCAGCGGTGGGTGGTGCCAGCGGGCACAGCTCAGGCGGAGGCTCCTTCGCACCTCCTTGCTCAGCACCACACAGGACAGGAAGATGAGGGGGCCCTGGGCAGAAAGGAGGCGGGGGGGACAAGGAAGGGTGGGTACAGCCTGGGAGGATACCAGCAGCACCCTGGACCAGTCAAGGGGTCACCATCCAGACTGGGTGCATCCCATTTGCACCTCAAAGAGAATGAGCGTGCCCTCCACGGATATCTCAAACGGAATGAGGGACCCCCATATGCACTGAGTGCCCTCCATGGGCACCATAGAGTGGTTGAGGTGCTCCCATATACACTGGATACCTCCCATTAGTGCCCTGGATATGGCAAAGGACCTCTCTGTGCCCACTGGGTGCCCTACAAATAGGTGTGGGACTCTGGAGGTGCCAAGGGTGTGAGGTTCAGGGGGCTCTGGGATCTCTGGGAGTCCCAGGGGTCATGGTCACTGGGGATCCCAGGGGCAGAGGCTTTGGGGTTCTGGAGTCTTTGGGGGTCCCAGGGGTGGTGGCTCTGGAGGTTCCACGAGTGGAGTCTCAGGTGGTTCCCACTGACCTGGAGGCAGTTGGAGGCGGCGAACAGGTAGTGACAGAGCAACGTGTCACTGTTGACTGAGAGCAGGGCCAGAAGCCAGGCCAGGCTGGGCATGGCCAGTAGGACTGCAGCTGTGCGCACCCCAGACCTGAGCACCCCAATGGCACCCAGTGTTACCACAATGACATCACATGTCACACCCCTCTGCACTTCTGGCCCCCAGGGTTGCCCCAGCCCCTCATAGCCCTCTCCCCCTCCAGATGCCCCAACTTCCCCCTGACCCACTCTGCCATCAATGGGTCCTCCAGCCCCCTGAGCTCCCCTGTTCCCTGTGGGCCCAGCCTAACCCCAGCCCCCTGTGCCCCTTGCCCCAGTGCCCTTCTGCCTCCCTATGGGTGCTCTGTAACCCCCTTGCCCCCCTAGATGCCCCAATCTCCCCTGACCCCCTCAGTCCCCCACAGGGGACTCTGCCCTTGATGCCTCCCTGCCCTCCACAGGTGTCCCAACCTCCTGTGCCCCCCTGCCCTCCACAGATGCCCCAACCTCCCGTGCCCCCATGCTCCCCATTGGCTCTATCCCCCCGTACCCCCCTGCCCCTTTGCCTCCCCACGGCTGCCCTGCACCCATGGATGACCCAGACGCCACTGTCCCCTCCTACCCCTGCCCCATAGGCAGCCCAGTGCCCTCCTGCCCCCCATGGACGCCGCAGTCCATCCTGTGCCTCCCTGCCCTCTGCAGGTTCCCCAAAAGGCCAGCTCCCTATGCGTGCCCCCTAACCCCAGTGCACTGCAGCCTCTGTGGGTGCCCCAACCTCCCACGCCCCCCTTAGGCAACCCCATCCCCGCTGCGTCCCCTGCCCCCTGCAGGTGACCCCGCCTGGGTGACTCACGCTGAGCCCTTTTTCTGGAAGCCCTGAGGGGTGGCACAGGTGGCCCTGGCTGCCAGCACCAGGAAGAAGATGCCGACCTGGGGGTGCAGGGAGTGAGCAGGGTGATAGGGGATCCCATGCCCTCCCCAGCCCCCAGCCCTGTACGCACGGCAAGGGCGGCAGCGCAGGGCCCAGCCAGGCTCCACACCAGGCTGTCGTGCAGGGCCAGCCAGCAGAAGTCGGGGTTCCCATAGCCCTCAGGGTCCAGCCCCACCGCCAGCCCTGCAAATGAGAGATCAGGAGTGGGGCCAATTCAGTGGATGGGGCTATAAGAGGAAACAGGGCTAAGGTGGGAGGAGCAGGGCTAAAGAATGTGAAGCTATGGCAGGATGGGACTCGTGGAGTGGCAGGGAATGGCTCATGGGTGGTACAGGGCTGGTGAGAAGGTGCTGCTCTTGGGGCTGTGGCTATGCTGGGTAGAGACAGCGCTATGCAAATGAGGTTTGCCTAAGCTCTTGGACATGGGGCAGTGCTGGTGAGAGCAGGGATATGGCACAGGGGGCTTGTCTAAGAAGTTAGTACAGATCTAGTCTCTGGAGGGGGGTTATGCTGATGAGGGCAGGGCTAAGATCCTGGGGAGTATCTGACTAGGATTGATGGAGAAAGGCTATGGCCCTGGGAGCATATTGAAGATGTTGGGAAAGATGCTCTTGGGGTGGAGATATGATGGATGAGGGTGGGGCTAAACTCTTGTGGTGAGGATAAAATGTTCGCCAGGGTTATACTCTTTGGGAGGGGGCTATGACCCCAGGGGTGTGTCTGAAATTTGGAGGCAGAGCTATGATGGATGAGGGTAGGATTATGGACCCTGGGGCCTGTCTAAGATCTTGGGGACTGGGTCTGATAGTCAAGGGCATAGCTATGACTCTGCCTATGTATCAGGGTGGGGCTATGGTGGTTAAGGGTGGAGCTAAACTTTTGGAGTGGGGCTGTTTTGGCTGGGCATGACTATCCTGCTGGAGGCAGGGTTATATCCAGGGGTGTGGCTATACCGGTAAAGATGGATTTGGGGGTGGGCCTATATTCTGGGTGTAGGGTTACACATGGAAATAGGACCCCACCATGCATCAAATTGATTGCGGGAGTGAGATTCAGGCGGCAGGCCACAGCCTAGAAGGGGGTGTGTAGCCACCAAAAGCTGTTGACTCAGGTGGAGGTGGGCAGCTGGTGGTCCAGGGCATGGCGCGAGAATGAGAGCAGGGTTTCACAGCAGGGCTCACCGGTGATGAAGGCAGGCAGTCCCCAGCCCAGTACATGGTAGAAGCGCATGGGACCACGGTCGACATGACGGGGTTCACTACAGCGCCGGTAGAGGTGCAGCGCCTCCAGCAGCGCCCAGCCTACCGCACTCATGTACAGGAACTGCAGCAGGATGGCCACCACCGTGCACGCCAGCTGCACCCGCCCCATCAGTGCCAGCCCACAGCCCCACCCATCCAACCATATGCACAACCCCCCGAGCTCCCCCTTTGAGACGTCATTCCTCTGTTGAGGTCACACTCCTCTAGAAGGTCCCATTCCTTTTATGGGCCTCCCCCCTTGAGTGCCCCACCTCTTTGATGGGTCCCACCCCCTTGACAGCCAAGCCCTTTGAGATAAGATGTATCCCTTAGAGAGCCTCACCCCGTTTATCAGACCCATTGCTTTGCAAGCCCCACCCCTTTATACAGACTCCCCCCCTTGAGATCACTACCCCTTTGACAGACCCCACCCATTATAGTCCTCATGTCTTTAAGCCGCCACCCCTTAGGCCCAGCCCACCATGGCCGTGCCCACCCCTTAGCCCCACACATTTCAGCCCCACCAACCCAAACAATTCAAAGGCAGCAGATCCCCTGACCCAACCAGCTCTTCCCAGTGATCTCCACTCCTTCCCTCCTTTCCCAGCCCCCTTTTCCCACACACCGGGACATCGGCCTGGTTGATGCCAAGCAGGAAGACAAGCTGTGCAAGGAACAGTGCAGCTGTGCCATGCCGGCGGATGCTGTGGCGGTTGGAACGCAGCCGCCTCAGGGTCCCCAGGGCCAGGACCACCAGCGCCAGCCCCGCCAGCCCCACGCCCAGGGAGCCGTAGGTGAGTGCTGCCAGCGGCAGCACCTCCCCGTTCTGCAGCACCAGGATCGGCATATGTCAGGCATGTGCTCAGTGGCACGCACCCCCAGACATCCCCGTCATACAAAGCAATCAGCCCCTGGGCCTGGGAAGTCCTGCCCAAAATGCATAGCCCAATAGGAAGCCCTGCCCACATAATTCAGCCCCGCCCCTGGTAACCCCACCCTTTGAAACCCCTATCACAGCGCTTCAACCATGCCCCTCAAAACCCCACCCACATCTTGTAGCTCCACCCTTTTAAACCTTTCCCGTACCACTAAGCCCTAGCCCTCAAAACTCCACCCACATCTCTCAGCTCTGCCCCTTTCAACCCCACCTGCACCGGACCCTGCCCCCTGAAGCCGCGCCCACAACACTGACCGCACCTCTTTATGTCCCACCCACAGTTTTCAACCCCGCCCCAGGAAACCCTGCCCACATTACTCAGCCACAGTCCCTGAAAACACGCCTGCATCACTCAACCACACCTCTTGTAACCCCACCCACATCAGCTCTGCCCCTTGGAGACCGACCGGCCCACCCTGCTCAGCTGCACACGCTGACTGGACCCGCACCTGGGGCACGTCTGCCAGATCTGACACAGCTTGACCCATCCCACTTAGTTCTGCCTCAAGGGAGCCCCACCCACTGGATTTAGCCGTACCCCTTGGATTTAGCGCGATCCCACTTAAACCCCACACTTCCCTCAGTTCCGCCTCCATGAGCACTCCCACCTCCACCCTGACCCTGCCCCTCCTATCCCTGTCCCTCCCCTTTTATCAAAATCCCCGCCCTTGTCCATAAAGCGCCGGCCCTGTGCGTGGCACCACCTGACACCCTGTGCCCATTTCTGCATGTGTCTCCATCCACCCCCATGTGCCCACCAGGGCCTCACCCTGAGTCATTCCTTGCCCCCAGGGTCACTGTGTCCCTCCACGTCCCACGCGTCACATCTGTCACCCTGTGCCCCCATGCACCCCTCCGTGTCCCCCTATGCCCCCACCTCTCGGCGGGAGATGTCCATGAGGACGGCAAAGCTGGTCAGATGGTGGCACTGGCAGCTGACGTGGCTCTGGTTGCGGAAAGCGACTTCGCAGCCTCGTGCGGACCAGCCGCCTACACTGCCCGCCCTGCGCAGCACCAGAAAGTGACGTGAGCCGCGAAACCCGCCAGGACACCCACCGGGACAAACACTTACACACACACCGCGACACCCACTCACCCACTGGGGACACCCACGAGGGACACCCACCGGGAACATCCACCCCCACCGAGGGACACGCACCCGACCCAGGACATCCATCCAAGGCGTCACACACTTGGACACCCCCCAGCATTCACAGCACTTCAACCGTGCCCCTCAAAACCCCACCCACACTGTGTAGCTCCACCCCTTTAAATCCACCAGGGACACATGTGCTGGGGACACCTGCTGGCGTCACCCTCCCACAGGGACTCACACCCACCAGGTACATCCACAGACAACATACCCCCACCCACCGGGATATCCATCCACCCAGCAGAGACAACCGCTACCACCTGGGGACACTCACCCACCAGGGACACTCACCCGGGAACACCCCTCCATTTGGGAACATACCCCCATCCTATCTGACACCCACCAGGGTTAGAGCTGCCCCCTCACGTCCTGTTCCCATGCTACTCACCCATGACCCACAGGGTTATTGGGGCATCCATCCTGCCCTGTCTCCATACTCCCTGTCCCCTATTCCCATGTCCTCTGTCGCCTCAAGGTGTCCTTATCCCTGTTAGTACATCCCCTGTCTCCATGGGATGTCCCCTTCCTCATGCTCCCTGTACCCGCAGAGTGTCCCCATCTCCTTAGGGTGTCCCCATTTCACATCTGCTGTCCCCTCTGAGGTGTCCCCACCTCACTGGGGTGTCCCCATTTCCATGGCCCTTCTCCCCCCACAGTGTTTCCTGTTCCCCTGGTGTGTGCCATGTCCCCTGTTATCTCAGCACGTCTGTGTCCCTCCATGCTGTCCCTGACTCCCCAAGATGTCCCCACCCCTCGAGGGTGTTCCTTGGGATATTCCCTGTTCTCCTGGGTGTTGTTACACCCAGATCTCCTGTCTCCCTGGGGAGATCCCTTGTCCCTCTGGAGTGTACCCATCTTCCCCAGGGTGTTCCCATCCCCAGTCCCATGTCCCTCTCTGCTGGGATGTCTCAGTGGCCCCAGGGTGTTCCTGTCACCCTGGGGTGTCCCCTGTCCTGCTCTCACCACAGAGAGTGGTTCCAGAAGACGCAGATGGGCTTGGAGCGCTCCTGGGTCTCCAACAGCCGGAACTGGAGGGTGATGGGCTTGGCCAGCACCTGGGGGGTCCTCATGCCCCCCACGCCATCTGTACCCCCCGTGTGCACGCTGATGCTCACCACCGGTGTGTTGATGACGGGGCGCTTGGGCACCCTGGGGGACACTGGTGTCAGGGAGCACACTCAGGGTGCCCCAAAACCCACCTTGGTACCACAGAGTGTACTGGCACCACACAGACACTGTGAGGGCACCTCTTTCTACCCTGTCCTCTTTTTTGGGCACTCCTTTCTCCCCTGCGCCCTCTTTTTTGGGCACCCTATGTGCACCATCCTTGGGGCATCCCTTGAGCCACCTCCCCAACCCTCTGCCCCCCATCCTCAGGCACTCTCTGTGCTTCCCAGCCTTGGGTACCCCATGTGTCCCCTTTACCATTCCTCCCTTGGGAACCCTCAGGAACCCCTGGCTCCATCTCCCTTGACCCCTAGATGCTTGGTTTTGCCCTGACGCCCCATGTGCCACCCCCAGCCCCCCCGGCCCCCATCCCCAGTGGCACCGGAGGCTGCGCTTGTCGGCGTCGAAGTGCTGGGGCAGGAGACCGGCCAGGGTACGGTAGATGATGACGCTGACGATGGCCTGGCCCTCACCCAGGGATGGGTGGTGCTTGTGCCGGGTCACCACAGTCATCCCTGCCTCCTCCTCTTCCACTTTCTCCTCTTCGCCTGCTTCATCTTCCTCCTCCTCCTCCTGCCCACCTGTGCCCTGTGGTGCCTGCCCATGCCCGGTTGAGGGGCCTGGGGGGCCATGGACAGGGGACAGCATGATGCTCTGAGACCTCATTGGGGTCCCTATGGCCACCCTGGAGTCCCCAGCTCTGCCAATGCCATGACCACAACAAGGTTCCCCCAACACTTCCAGCTCCAGGGGTCCCCATGTCCACACCAGGGTCCCCAACCCTGTCAGCTCTATGACCACAATGAGACACATTTGTGTTCCTAACCCTGCCCCCCGCCATGGCCACACCAGGATCTCTGATGCCATCCTGGGGTCCCTGGTCTTTGCATCCTTACCAGGGTCCCTAGCCATGCCAGTACCATCCTGGGGTCCCAAACCTGCCAGCCCTGTGGCCACACTGCACTTCCCACGGTGGCACTGGGATTCCTAACCCTGCCAGCCCATGGGTATCTGGGGTTCCCCAATCCCTGCCAGCCCCCAGCCAGGGTCCCCAGCTGTGCCATGTCCCCATGGCCAAATGGGGGGGGTCCCCCGAGCTCTGCCAGCCCCATGGATGCAAATGGGTCCCCAACCTTGCCCCCTGTCCCCCCTATGCGCCAGACTCACGCCTGTCCTTGGGGGGCCGGAAGATGTTGTCAGGCAGGATGACGGTCGTCTCCAGATCTGGGAGTTTCTCCCCCCGCAGCGCCTCATACCGTGGCAGGCGGGCACCCGCAAAGCTGCTCTTGTCCAGCCGCACCACTGACACCACTGTGGCACCACGTCACCCATGGCCCAGCATGGCCCCACCAACCCTGAGGCACACAGACCCCGGCACCCACCGACCCCAGCGCACACCGACCCCAGCATTCACTGATCCCAGGGCGCACCAGGCCCAGTACACACCAATACCAGCACCCACCAATCCTGATACCCACCAACCATCGGGAACACAGACCTTGGCACCCATTGACACCAGGACACACTATCCTCTGCATTCACTAATCCCAGGGCACACCAAGCCCAGCACAAACCAACGCAAGCACCCACTGACCCTGGGGCACACAGACCCCACAACCATAGATCTCACCACCCACCAATCCTATGGCACACAGACTCCAGAACCCACTGAGCCCAGCATCCACTGACCCTGGCATCCAACGGCCCTGGAGCAATGAATCCATACACCCACAGACACTAGCAGCCACCAACCCTCCCATGTCCCTGGGCACATGGACCCCAGCACCCACTGAACCCAGTACCCACCAACCCTGGAACAGACAGAACACAGCACCCTCTATACTCAGCACCCACTGACCCCAGGGCACACAGACCACAGCCCATGTCCCCAGGGACACACACATGCCTCTAGGCATACCCATGTTCCCCAGGACACGCTCCCCAGCCACACAAATGTCTGTGTCCTCAGCACGTTCCCAGGTACCCATCAGACATGCATGCATGCTCCCAGCTCACATGTCCTTGTGCACACATACTCGAGGTATATACATGTTTGTGTTCCCAGACACACACCCATGTCCCCAATACACACACATTCCCTGAGCACACACACGTCCCCAAGCACACACATTGTCCCCAGCACATATATCCCCCAGGCATATCCATGCCCATATGCCCAGCACCACACCAAGGGCACATGTGTGTCCCCAGGCAGACACACGTTCCCAGCATGCCTATGTTTCCAGGCAGATACCCCCCACCACAGCCCTCTGGCCACACATGTCCCCACTGACCGATGTTAGGGGTGACAATGGTGAAGGGGCTGAGGTAAGTCTGGGGCATATTCCGTGCCAGGGCTCGTGCATACTCCTCAAAATGCTGCAGTAGCTGGGCTGTGCCACCCTCCGTCTGCTGGATCAGCTCCCAGTGACGCTTGTTCCCCATGTCCAGCAGCGCACTGCCCACCCGCAGCAGGTTCTGGGGGCAAGGCAGAGGCAGTGGCACTGAGAGCTGGCACTTTATGGTCTGGGCAGGGGGTCCCTAACCTCCCCTGCAGGACTCTATGGCAGGGGCACCCTGGCACTGGCAGTGGGAAATGGGGGTGCTGAACCCCACAAAGCTGAGGCTGCACCCTGAGCCACACCAACACGCGCTGCTCAGGACTGCCCACCACCCTGATATCAAACCTACACCAACATTCCTCTCTAGGTGGATGCCCATCACCCTGGTGCATGGGATCCCTCATCAATACCCTCCTGAAATGGGTGCTATTCACCCTGGCACCCAGATTCCTGCACCAAGACTTCCCCCCTCCCCCTGCAGATGCTCATCACCCAAATGTTTGACCTTCTGCCCAAATACGGCCCTCCCCAAAGGGGTCCCCGTAATTCCAACCTCTCTTCCTTCTCCCTCAATCTCCCTCCGCAATGCCTGTGACCCAGGTCTCTGCTCTCCTGCCCAAATATCCCTCCCCAACAGGCTGCCCATCACCCTGGTGTCTGGGCTCATGCACCCTCATCCCCCACCATGGGAGCGCTCATCATCCCAACCTCTTTTCCACTTTGCCCGTTCTCCCTCCAGGCACGTCCCCATCCCTGTGATCTCAGGCCCACCTCAGTGAAGTGCACGTCCTGGGTGGCAGCAAGGCGGAAGCCGCGCTGGCGGCTCTCGTGGCGCAGCAGGGCCCCTGCCAGGCGGTATGCCAGGTGCACGTCACTGCCGAAGTACCCGCGGGCCTCGCGCGTCGCTTCGCGCAGTGCCAGCGCCACACGCCGGGACTGCCCTGCATCCCACCGGGACTCGTTGCCCACCAGCTGCTCCGCCTTGGGGGGACACACACAGAGTCAGGGGAGCCCCAGCGGCACTGTCGCATGGCTGCTGCTGGTGTTCCCTGGCTCACCCAGGGGCGAAGGGCAGCAAAAGCCAGCGCGCTGCAGTTGAAGAGGTTGGGGGGCAGCCAGCCCTTGTGCTCGTCACAGTGGCGCAGTGCTGTGCCTGTGGGATGGGGACACTGAGTGCACCATGGGGACAATGGGGCAGCCTCACCTCACAGCACGCTAGCAGTGCTGCCAGTGTCACACTCCTACTCCACCCTGCAGTGATGCCAGAGTGGTGCCCCCAGCCTTGTCCCAGTGGTGCCATGCCCTGTTCCAGCTGTGCCACCACAGTGCCACACTCCTGTGCCACCCCCCAGTGACACCATCATGACAGTCACCAGTCCTGATGCCACCAGTGTCACACTCTTTGCAGTGACACCACAGCCTCATCTCAGCAAGTTCACACTTAGGTCACCCCTACTCCAACTTGGTAGTACCACCAAGGTGTCACCACCCCTAACCCATCCTAGCAGTGCCACCCCAGTGTCACCTCCCGGTACCAACCCAGTAACACCACTACAGTATCACCCCCCTGCCCTGTCCCAGTGATGCCTCATGGCACCACCCCACCCCAGCTCCATCCAACTGGTGCTGCCACCATGACACACCCCAGCCTTGTACCACTGGTGTCAACATCCCATAGCAGTGCCACCAGCATATCACCACCCTGAAGTGACTCCATGGTGTCCTCTCTCCCCACCATGTCTCAGCAGTGCAATCACAGTGTCACCTCCCTGTACCATCCAAGCAATGCCACCCCTCTAAGCCCCATCCCAGTGATGTCACCATCATATCACCCCTAGCCCCCTTCTGTCAGTGTGCCCAGTGCCACCCCCGTCCTGTCCCCATGGCCCCACGTACCGACAGAGCCCTTGGGGCACGGGGCTGCAGCTGGCAGCCCAAACCGAGTGCGGGGCCACCAGATGCTGGCCTCGATGGCCCGGGGACAGCTGTCATAGTTCACTGCAAAGACACAACAGGGCATCAAAATGGGGGACACAGGGTGACAGCAGGGCAGCAGTGGCACCTGGTCACTGGAACCCAGCATAACACAGCCTGGCACAGGCTAACAGCATGGTGACAGAGCAGGATGACAAAAGAATAACAGGGTAAAAGTAGGGTGACATTGTGGCACAGGGTGATAGCAATGTGACAGCAGTGTGACACAGGGTGACAGTGGGGCGACATAAGGTGTCAACGGGATTACACCAACAACCAAGGTGTTGGTGGAACTCAGTTGCCAGCAGCCAGGGTGACAGCAGGTGACACAAAGCAACGAGGCAGTGATGCAGGGTAGCACAGGGTGACAGAAGGGTGACAGTAGTACCCAGTCACTGGCACTTGGAGTAACACAGGGTGACACAGGGTTGCAACAGGGCAGAGTAGGGTGACACAGGGCGATACAGGGTGACAATGGCACTCGCTGGCACCCAGGATGACAGCTGTGGCAGAATAGGTGAACATCAGGATGGCATAGGGTGGTGTAGGGTGACACAGGATGACAGCAGGGTGACACCAGTGTGACAGAGAGTAACAGTGGGATGACATAAGGTGACAATGGGGTCAATAGGGTGACAGCAGAGAGACAGTAATACCTGGTCATTGGCACTCAGTGACACAGGATGACACAAGGTGACACAAGGTCACAGAGAGTAATGGAGGGTTACAGCAGGGTGACAGTGGGCACTCAGGGTGACACAGGGTGACACAAGCTGACAGTCTCCTACCTTCGCAGCCACTGGCTGTCACCTCAGCAAAGGGATTGTCACAGCGGTCACAGTGACGGCCGATGACACCAGCTTTGCAGGGGCACTGTCCAGTGTTGGCATCGCAGCGGCGCGACAGTGACCCAGTGGGGTAACACTCACAGGGGTGGCATGTGTCCCCTCCTGGTGGGCGGTAGTGGTTGTCCTGGGGGGACACAGGGTCACTGCAGGCACGGGTATGGGGTGACAGGGGGCTGACAGGGGGTGACAGGAAGGTGACAGGGTGACGGTGGGGTGGCAGGGAGAAACAGAGAGGTAACAGGAGGATGGCAGGGGTTGGCAGGGGAAGTCACAAGGGCTGGCAGGTCCCACCTTGCAGCGACACTCGCCCGTGGTCTTGTTGCAGTCTGGGTCAAAGCCATGGGTGATGTCACAGCTGCAGGGGCCGCACGTGGGGTGTCCCCACCACCCCCGTGGGCATGGCTGGGCCTCCCTGGAGACAATGGAGCTGGCACTCGAGCACCATGCCAGAGTAGTCCCATAATGCCACTTGCAAACTCACATGGCCACTCGTACCCTCACAGTGCCACCTGTACCCCCACAGTGCCCCTTGCACTCCTACTGTGCCACTTCTACACCCACAGTACCACTTTTCATCCACAGTGGCCCCTGCATACTCACCACAGCTCTCACACAGCCATTGTGCCCTTTCCATGCTCCCCCTGCCTTTTGCACACCCACCACAGCTCTCGCACATGCACTATGCCCTTTGCAGTAGGGGGTGTCACACCCACCCTGCCCCATATGCCCACCCTCCTCTCACCCCACGCGCTGCCCCCGATGTCCCTTGCTGTGGCCCCGCTCCCCCGGGCGCCCCACACCCCCCCAGAACATGCGTGTGCCCCACAGTGTCACCAACCGGTGCTGGCAGAAGGCCCCAAAGGTGCCCGGGGGACAGTGACAGGCATAGCCGGGGGCCGTGCCTGGATGGCGAGTACAGGTGCCCGGAGGCTCGCAGGGGTCCAGGGCACAGGCACTGACACAGCTGTCACCAAAGTACCCTGGGCACAGGACAGATTGGAGACAACAACGGGAGACACTGACAGGGGACAGGGATGGGGGTGAGGGGCAGTGCCCAGGGGTGACAGTGATAAGGAGAGGCAGCGACAAGGGAAGGTGGCAGTGCCTTGGGGACAGGGGTGGAGGGGTGGTGCCCAGAAAGGGTGGGGTTGTTGGGGCAATATGTCACAGGGTGGCAGTGCTGGGGATAGCAGTGTCTCAGGGCTGTCAGGAGGTGCTGGGGGTTTCCACTCATGCAGGTGGCAGTGGGGGGTGTCAGAGGAGTGGCAGTGTCTCAGGGGGTGTTGGGACTTGTCAGAGGTTCCAGGGGGTCTCTGGTCACCAGGGCAGCAGTAGAAGGTGTCACAGGGGTGTCTCAGTGGTGTCAGTGTCCCACGGGGTGTCAGGGGATGTCAGGATGTCTCCATTCAAAGGTGTAGAAATGAGGAGTGTCACAGGGATGTCAGCATGTGGTGGTGTCAGTCTGTGCCAGGAGAGTGTCGGGGAGTGTTGGGAGGCTGCTGGGGGAGTCTCAGAGGTCTCAGGGTGTCCCCATTCACTGGGGTGGCAGAGGGGGTTGTTACACGGGTGTTAGTTCCAGGGCCATTGGGGGAAGTCTGGGGTGTGTTGAAGGGGTTTCAGGGGTCTGGGGGATCCCTGCTCACCGGGGTGGCAGCGGCATGAGAAACTGTCCCAATCGTCACTGCAGTAGCTGTGGGGGGGGCAGGGCCCCGAGTCGCAGGGATCAGGCAGGGCACAGCCCCCCTCCACATTCACCTGCGCCGCCTGCGCCAGGCTCAGGGCATCCGCAGTCACCACAGGGTCCCCAACACGCAGGCCCTGCAGGGTCACTCATCAATGTCCTCACTAAGACCCCTGAGCCACCCTGGACCCCCCAACACACTCCACTCCATGCCTCAGTTTCCCTCACCATTCCCCAGAGACACCACGAGAATTCCCTACACAGTGTCACCATCAGTGTGATCTCACCACCACACAGGACCCACTGTGTCACCCTAAAATCCCCTGCCCCACTGCCATCCCTACCTCAGCGTCCCGTGCCACAACACAGGACACCCCAGGACAACCTGGACCACCCTGCAGTGTCACCCTCTCCTCAGTTTCCCCCATCATGACACTGGATCCACTGTGCCACCCTGAAGCCCCTGCATCACATCGCCTGTCACGTACCTCAGCACCACCTGGTGACACCCTCGTGTTACCTGCAGTGACCTCTCAGTGACCTGGGACACCCCTTCACCCCGACCCAACTTCCTTGTGTGGGGTCACCTGACAGTGACCCCAGTGATGCCCCAGCCACCATGACCCCCCCGCCCCAGTGCCATGCCCACTCTCGATGTCCCTCACTACCATCCAGGACCTTTTGTGTCACCCTGTTCAGTCTGTCCCCACAACACGTGACACCCTGAACCCCACACCAGGACCCACTATGTCATTCCAGCCCCCCTCTCCAGTCACGTCACCTCTGGGTGCTTCAGTGGCCCCAACACCAGCCGGTACCCCCTGTACAACCCATGACCTCCCCAGTCACACCCGAGTCCCCACAGCCATGTCCCCATCCTGCCCAGGCCCATGTCACTATGCAGTGCATCCCCAATGTCCTGCCCACACAGTTGATGTCTCCTTGTCCTGTGTCATCTCCCTGTACCCACATCCCTGTGCCCTTCTCCATCCTGCCCATGTCCCCCTGTCCTTGTGCACATCCCTGTGCCCCCCATTATCCTGCCATGCACCGCTTCTCTGTGTCATGTTCCCAAATCCCATGTCCCCAAGCCGGTGCCAGGTGCCCAAGCACTGTACCCATGTCCCTGTGCCCCTCTTCACCATACCCTTGTCCCCATCCCCAAGGTAAGGCCCTGCTTCATTGTGCCCTGTCCTCACTCTGTTCCACATCACCTATCTATGCCCAAATCCCTCTGCCCATTCCCCCAAGCCCTATGCTGTGTCCCTGTGTTCATATCCCTGTGCCGCCTTCCCATTGTGACCATGTCCTTATCCCCTCTTCCACATCCCCAAGCCCACCCCCCCTTCCCCTACACCCTCCACCCCATGCTCCCCACAGCCTCGGTGCCCGCACCTCCATACCTGCAGACACCCCTGGAACCCCTCCTCCACGGTGCCGCTGTCCCCTGGCAGCCCCCCGAGGCTCAGCGTGCGCAGCCGCAATCCCTGCAGCTCTCCAGGGACATCGCCCACCGCCTGGGGGGCACAGGGACCCCCGTGGGTGCCTTGGGGTGCCACGGGGGGTGCCACGGTGGAACGCGGGGATCATCAGAGTGGATGCCCCCCTGTGCCTCAGTCTCCCCATACCTGGTGGCGGCCATAGTCAAGGGTGAGAAGGAGGAGGGTGGCAGAGGGGTTGTGGCCAGGGCCCCCCCGCAGCTCCAGCTCCACGTGGTGCCAGGCACCGTCATTGACTCTGGCCTGGGGCAGACGCAGGCTGGCCAAACGGGCCCCTCCTTGCCAGGCACCAGCCTCCACCTGTCCCTCGCTCAGCTGTGAGGGGTAGACATGTCAAGGACCCCAAAAACCTGATGGGCACCAGGCATTGCCCACCGGGAAATACAATTTCCCCTGGGACAGTTAGACAACCCCTCAGGTAATGCCCCCTCAAGGAGTGGCACCCCCTTGCACTGTTCCCCCCCACCCCCAGCAATACTGCCAATGCCAACAGACCCCCCCCC